ATCTTTTTATATGACTTTGGACCTTGATTAAGCCCTAAGTCCATGTAATAGGATGTGTTAACAGTTGCTATGTAATTGTTCCCAGAGTATTTTGTCACATGCATTAAATCTGACTAGATAGTATATTTGTTCTCTGCCCGCCTCCCTAAAGTGGACCACTCCCTGTATACTAAAATACTGCTTTGTCTTTCTCTTTCCTATATTGTGTCTTCTCTTGTTGCAATTGAAGTCATTTGTAAATCATAGTTAGACATATTGTGAATGATTTTAGTAATGATCCTTTCAAAGGCAGATTCTCAGTTTTCTTGAATTTCATCAGCTTAGCACTATAATTAATTAGAGGTTAACATTAAACTTTAACGGATAAATTGATATGTGGCTCATATGAAACCCACTACTCATCTGAATATAAGACAAGTGGTGAATAAGCTCACATTATCCCTTAATTCTTTTTAATGTCAATCTTAAAGTCATAGAAGATGGGATCTTATGAGGACTCCCACCAAAAATTATGCTAAATACCATATAAGAGGCTCTAAAAGCCAATCCATTCTCTATTTGGATTGCATGGTAATTTTGTTTTTCTAATGTAGAGGTCTGGCCATGTCACCCCACTGCTCAATAAGCTTCAGTTATTTTTAGGATCAAATATAAGCTCCTATGTTAGACATTCAAAGCTCTTCAACATCTAACCCCCATACACCTTTCCAGTCTTCTTAATTTTACTCCTCTCCATGCACTCTATGATACAGGTATGCTGGTGTACTCACAGTTTCTTGACATAAGTTTCCATCTCCATCTGCGTGCCTACACACACACACACACACACACACACACACACACACACACACACACACACACACACACACAGACAGAGCCCATAGCTCCCCTCCCCCATGCTTGGTATGCTTTGTACCATCACTGTTGCTTCTTTTAATTTCCCTAACTTCCTTCAAGACACAGCTTAAATTCTATCTTCTGCAGGAAGTCTCTACTGTTCACCCTCAGCTATTAGAGCCTTTCCTTCTCAGAATGCCTTCCATTCATTCTGCATATCTTAGACACACCTAGTCAGGTACATGTTGTCTCCCTCATGAGAATATATACTCCTTAATGGAAGCGTCTGTTTTCGCCTTTCTTTGTCTCCCCAGAACTTGGCCCAATAGCTGGCAGACAGCAACTGCTTGACACAGGAGGTTTGTTGACTGATTGAGAAAGAAATGATTCTGACTTATACTAGATTGGAAATATGGCTGGAGAAATGTGCCCAGAACTAAGGCAGAAGTAAATCTGTGGTTGCCCAACCATTTTCTAAAATAAACTTTTCTCTCCTTATTAATAGAGGAGAAAAAGTTCTAAATAAACAGTCAGAATTGTGGAGGTGTGGTTCCTATGTTTTTGTCTCCCCATATTAGAATGTAAGGTCCTTGAAGGCAAGGACTAGCTTTACTTTTGTTTTTATATCCTTAGTGCTTAGCATACAGTTTGGCACACAGTAAGCATTTAATAAATATTTTTTCATTCATTCAACAATTTAAATGGAGACTGATAAAAACTGGATGGAGAAAGAACTTTTTGTTTTCTCACAGGTACTTGTTTCATATCAGTTATTAAACTCTAACCATCCTTTCCAAGCCCAAATTTTTAATTCCTTCTCTACTTACCCAGATGCATAAGTGCAAGACATCAAACTCCAAAGCACTTTGCTCATTCCACTTCTCTTTTGGTGACAAAAGGAGTCTTCTTCTTGGTGTATCCCTCTGCCTCTGACTTCCCTTGGAATCCAGAGCTAAGGAGGGGTCTCTTTTGTAGTTATATGTGGCTTCTATCATTTAAATACTGTTTCAAGATTAATACATTCAATAGATTTTTTTTCACTAATCAATCAGGTTCATGGATTTTAATTCCAGGAGTGGCTACTGGGGAGGCTATTGGAGAGTATATCCATTATTTCTCTCAGCATGCAGTTTTGTTATCATTTTATGCAACTCCAACACTTCATTAATGTCTCATTGATATTTATTTTCAAGTATAGGAAGTATGTGTGTTCGTGACGGGGTGGTAATTTGTAGAAAATTAGTCTAAAATCTGCAAGTTACGAAATGTGGCAGCTTGTGTGTTTCAAAGTTAGTTATGAGGAAGGCACGGTTTTAATAGAACCAGAAAGACCCAGAGCTTAAGTATCCTAAATGATATTTAAGACCCTTGGTAGGTACATCCCCTCAAAGTAGTGGTTCCTAAATTAATCTGGTATTAAAATAAATTTCTGTAAAAATTATTTCCATAAATCCATCACCATCATGATTATTACCATCAGAGCACTTTAAGGTTTGAAAATCAGTTTTATATCTGGTATCTCTTTAGATCTCCCTAACAACCCTATGAGAGACTGGTTCTAAAAGTATTATTAGCCCTATTTTTCAGGTGAGGTCACTGAAGCTAAGGAAGATTAAATGTCTTGGGATAAAAAAAGAGGGGTCAGGGAAATTCTAGATCAAAACAGAGGAAATTAAGACCGTTCTCATACTGAAAGATGATTTCCCATATGAGTATTTTTAATGTATGTATAATTTTTTTATTCACTATTTTAGAGCAGGGGTTCTTAACTTGGGAGTCTCTAGACCCTTGAGAGATAAATGGATCAATTTCAGAGAAGTCTGTGAACTTGTATGTGAAAAAATTGTACCTTTTATTTTCACTAACCACTAACTGAAACTTTCTTCAATTACAAATGTAGGCAACACACATTATTCTGAGAGGAGGTCCACAGGCTTTATCAGACTGCCAGTGGAGTCCACGGCACAGTAAAAGGTAAAGAGGGAAAATCTTGCTAGCACTGAAATTCTTTCACAGACCAGATCTTGGAACACCAGGAATCCATGGGGCATAGCTGAGGAAAGGCCGCCTGAGAGGATAAGTCAACCAGGTGATCTCTGGTTTGTGAGCCTAGGTTTGATTTCTCAGTTCCCTTTTCTCTCTAAAGCTATGATCTTAAGACTTGGGGAGGAATAGAGACTTTTTGTAAGGCATACTCTATTGAAATGTAATTCTGAAATGATTTGTTAGAATCTTAATAAGCACAAAAATTTCGTAAGATATACCATCTTAAACATGAATTGATTTTTATCCTTTTAAGTTAATTTTGCTTTACAAACTCTCTCTTCAACCTATCAGCATGACTTCAAGAAATCTATATATGTGTAAAATCTCACACTTGGAAAGGAAAGGAAAACTAGATGTTGCCAGAACAAAAGTGTAAGATATCTTTTCCAGGAGGTTACATGGTTGAAGAGAGGAACAGAAGGACATAGGCCTTTTTACAACTGGAAATGATGTCCAATTGAGGTAAATTAAGCAATAACTTTCTTGGGGTCCAAGGTGGGAAGGGTGCTTAGAGCTAAAGGTTCATTCTAGGTGGAACAGCCTCTGTGGGCTTTGAAATTCCTTCTCAAAGCTGGCAAAAGTACAACTCCCCTCCTATGATTTCAAATGTGATGCATGGAAAGCAGTTACAGTTATGAAAGATCATTTCATCTCTTCTCATTCTGCTCCCTGATACGCTTCTGATTCTTCCAGACTTCACCATCAAGACTCAACTGCCTTTTAACCCTGCATCTTCCCTTGGTGCAGGGGGCCTTCTCACCCTGGAACACCCTCCTGCTATGCTGGCCCTTTCTTTACTCAGCGAGTTCCTTCTTGGTCCTCTATTTGGAGAATGGGCACAGGCTAGTCATGTTTCATTCTCTTCTCTGCTGTGTTTCTCATTCTCCTAGGCAGGTACTGTTCACCTTTCTCCCCCTCTGCCCTGCTTTTGAAGCCCCTTTTATGTGTGGTCTTCCCCATGGGTGTGTGAGCTCCTTGAGGGAAAAGATTATTTTTCTTTTTTGCTTCTATTTGTATCACCAGCACTTAGCACAGTGTCTAACACATATTAAGCATTTTACAAATACTTGTTGCTTTGTATGGAACACAGTTGTAGGTGACACAAAGACCATATTTCTTTATCTTTCTGCCGTGTTTTTGGGTGTGAATTAAACTGATTTGAAGCCCAAAATTTATTTATTTACATCATGAAATACCAAGGTAAGCATGTACAAGAGCACAATAGACCAAACTGTTCTAAAGGCTTATTTAATATCATTTACAGCACTGTTTAAGTTGGTTTGTTTTGACTGTCTAAATGAGGCTAATTTATAACCAGTAAAAGCATGAAATGAATGTCATGCAAGAAGGAAAAAATAAAACCACATACAAAAACTCAGGGGCAGAAATTTAAAGGTCTTTTATCTAGGACGGCCAAGTGGTGAGAAGACCTTTCCCTTCCATCCCCTCTCCTCTTCCTGGTTCATCCCAGAACCCATCCAAAATTCCTGAATGCTCCCATAGCTTGGTTGAGACGGGAGTCACCACTTCAGTATCTTTCCCAGGGAAAACACTGCATAATTTCCTAAAGACAATGAAATTATTCTCTCCTTGGATTCAGTTCTGGACCCAAACAACTGTCCATTTATAGCATCCTGTCCTCCTACCCTATTTGGGATAGGGGTCACTAAGTCCTGACAAATTGATTACCTCCAAATTTGGGATATCACCAGGCCTTACCACCTGCTCTGTTATTATATCCTAAGGTTCTCTAGGCCTCATTCCTTTGTCTTGCCCCTCCACCCTTCAGACTCCTAAAACCGGCACTATCATCTGACCTGCCGAGATAGCCCAAAGACACTTGAGGTTTGACAGGTCTCTACTGAAGTAGTACCCTTAGGACTTCCAGGAGTTTTCATCCATCCTGCAGCTATACCTTCTTTTATGTGATGCAGTGCTCAATTAGAATGTGAGCTTCTTGATAGCACTTTATTAGTTGTATCCCCAAGACTTAGCATATAGTTCTTGCCATAAAATAAGTGCTAAATAAATACTTTTTTATCCATCCATCCATCCATTCATCAATCCATCCATCCACAAGGCCTTTAGAGAGAAACTGTATAAAATCCACAGTTTACCTTCACACACTGGGCAACATTCTCCAGGCACTTTAACAGGGTTCATGCAGCTTTGTCCACAGGCCGTAGCAACACAGTGTGATTCTCCATTAATACACTGGCAGAACGTGCAGTCATCTTCTCTCCAGCGGTCTCCATGTGCTCGGATCTGACCACTAGCAAAGCAGCCAGCAGGATTGTTAAAGGGATACACTGGATCTAAATCAAAGCATGAGTTCTGAGTGAGACCAAGGGTAATTCTAAATGTAGTTTGTTTGTACCTAGAGATAGCTTTTTTAGGCAGCAAAATCTAGTCAATTGGAGTGCTTTTCCAACTGTGCTGAGCAGGAGTTCAAAGTTGTATGAGTCTCTTAATGGTTCCTGTGTAGGCAGCCATTGTGACAAATTCACGTCCCCCCATCATGACATAGTACCAAGAGATCTATGGCACAAAAACAACGCAGCCAGGTTCTATAGCTTAAAATTTTGGAAAACACTGGTAGTTGAGCTGTGGGTTGGCAAACAGAAATCCAGGGATTCAGTTTTAATTTGTCAGTGATCTTTGAATTGTAGGTTTAGATCTTTGTTCTGCCTCAATTTTACCACCTGTAAAATGGAAATAATAATATATACCCCCAACTACCTTATAGCTATATTATTACTTCTAAGACTATAAGAAATGTATCTCTCTGATGCTTTTAAGTACATTAGGAAAGGTGCAAAATAAGAAGAGGCACAATAGTCTCCTCCTATGGTGTAGTTCATTATGCTGCATGCTCAGACATACCATGGGTCAGTGCATGTGCCCTGGAGGAAAGGCTGTGAGCCTCAGCTATTTTTCTCCCCGTCAGCCGGGCAGCCAAGCAGCAGCCAAGGTTGGGGGACAGAAGTAGCCAAGGACAGTAACTGTAAAAAAAAAAAAAGCTTTCTGAGGTTATTTGATGAGAGCATCAACACTGCATGCAAAATCCCCAAGTACTCTCATCATGAGAGTTCCTGGATCAAGAAGTTAAGATTTTATTTTCCCCTCCTCAGAGAATTTTTTAAAAAATTAGATTCAACCCAGCTTCAATCAATTACTTGTACGCTGAGGAAAGGACTTCTGACAGTCCAGAGTGAGATGTGCTACTATGCTAATGAGATCAATGCAAGTTGTAAGGACAGCAGGATGGTCAACTAAAGCTAACAGAGTTTTGCTTTTTTAAAAAAGTGATCTTTACAGAAGAAGGGAGTCAACCTGAGATGGCTTAGGTTTCCTAGATCCCCTTTTAAAAATATTGCATGACACTTCATAAGCATTCAGAGACTAGACTTGAATTTCAGGAAGTGAAACAAAACAGGATCTGAGCTCAGATAATTCATTTGGATTGTTATGCAGGAATTCCTATCTATGTTTTGACACGATCAACCTGTTCATAGTTTTACAGATTGTTGTGGAATGAGGACAGTAAAAAAAAAGGGGGGGAGGGGGAAATAAATTGGGAAGTTAAAATTCTGATCAGATGTTTCTATCTCCAGGGACTTATTTGAACTAAACTATCTTCCTCCTATATTGGACAAAACAATTTTTAACAAGGTAAGACAGAGACATTTGTTCAGTCGTGTCCGATTCTCTGTGACCCCATTATGGAGTTTTCTTGGCAAAGATATTAGAATGGTTTGCCATTTCCTCTTCTAGTGGTTTAATGAAAACTGAGGTTAAGTGACTTGCCCAGGGTCACACAGCTAGTAAGTATCTGAGGCTGGATTTGAACTCAGGTCTTCCTGACTCCAGGCCTAGCACTCTATCCACTGAGCCACCTAGCTGCCTCCAAGACAGAGACCTTTACCTGTTGTAAATTGTATTTTTCTAAGGTTATGAATTTAACTTTTAGAAAACAAGGAACCAACTTTTAATTTGGGGCTTTTCACTGTTGTCAACATTAAATTCTTCCATGCTATGGTTTAAAAGATTACAAAAAGGTGCTGAGCAGGCAGCACAGTTACAGTGGAGCAAGAACTGGCCATGGAATTAGGAAGACCTACAGTCAAGTACTGGCTCTGGCACATACTGGCTGGAAACCCAGATAAGTCACTTCACTTCTCAGGGTGCCAAACTCTACACTGGGAGAAGAAGGTTCCTCCCTAGGGATGCCCTACACTCATGAAATCACAGGTCTGGAGAATTTGTATCTCCATTCTGCATCTCCATTCACACACACACACACACACACATGCACACAATATATATATAGATAGAAAGAGAGAGAAAGAGAGGGATCTATCTCTATCTGATACAGAAGAAGTGGGAATAATAGTGTCTCACACAGAGACACACAGACACGATAGATACTGGATACAGAGGATCAAATATATGTGTGTTTCTGTGTGTCTGTGTATATGTCTGCATTTTAGGGTGTATTCTCTCACTGCAGGAGCTGAGATGACAAAGGCACAAAACAGCGGGTGTTTTGGCTCCAGGTTGGTGTTCCTGTCACATCAGGGTTGTAATATTCTTCCTCTTTGGGGAAAGGGAGCATAGTGCAGTACACAAGAAAGAGCACAGGATACTTTGCTTCCAAGTCCTAGATCTGCCACTCACTGGTTTTCTTTAAAATTGAACTCATCTTTAAGGGGGATTGATTTTAAACCTATGTTCCTATTCTATGAATTTTAGTGGTAGGTGGTATGGGAGTATGGTGGGAGAGGAACAGAAAGGAGCTCAAGCCCAAATTTGCCTCTTTGCTCCTGATTCTGCCCTCTGGACATAGGGCTGTGCTACCATGATGGCTCTCTTAAGTAATGCTGTTGTTGTTTCAGTCCTGTCCGACTCTTTGTGACCCCTTTTGGGATTTTCTTGGCAGAGACACTGGATTGGTTTACCCATTTCCTTCTTCAGATCATTTTACAGATGAAGAAATTGAGGTTCACAGGGTTAAGTGATTTGCCCAGGGTCACACGGCTAGTAAGTGTCTGTTGACCAGATATGAACTCCAGTTTTCCTGTCTCCAGGCCTGGTACTCTATGTACCATGCCACCTAGCTGCCTCTCTTAGTTAGATTGCCCTCCCCATCCTCCCTCAAAATGGGATGTATATATGAAGGTTAGATAAGAGTTAAGAGATGGAGAAATAGAGCATATGAAAGAAAATGGTTTCTCTTCCTGGAAGCTAGGTGGCAGAGTAGATAAAGTGTTGGGCCTAGAGTCAGGTGGACCTGAGTTCAAATCCAGGCTCAGATACTAGTTGTGTGACCCTAGGCAAGCCACTTAACTGCTTTCTGCCTCCATTTCTTCATCTGTAAAATGGGGATAATAGCACCTATCTCCCAGGGTTGTTTTGAGGATAAAATGAGGTAATATATGTAGAGTGCTTAGCACAGTGCCTACCCCACAGTCTAAAAGTACTTAGTAAATGCATGTCCCTTTTCTCCTTTCCTTCAACATTTTCATGGCTCTGGATGAGGATCAGTTGAGTATTACAATCATGGGATTCTTGGCTAGGTTTCTGAATCATTCAAAATGCTTCACCTTTCTGTACTTAACTGAGAAGATTTTATTAGTCCTCAATTATTATTAGAGAAATTACCTTCACAAACAGGACAGCATTCTCCTTCTGGCTCATAGTATCTATCACAGTTCAGCTCACCACACTGAGCAGAGAAACAAATAGAAACACCTCCCTGGCATCTGCAGAACTGACAATTGTCCATTCGAAACATGTCTCCATCGTAGTACTCCACACTGTTAAAAACGCAAGCTGGTTTCGTTTCTAGGAGTTTAAAAAAAAAAAAGGTCTATTCAAAGGGAACTTGGCATAAGATATTTTCAAATAGGTTTTTTATTTTTGTATGGAGTACTTTGATAAAAAAATTAATATAACCAAGAAAGTATGCTTTATTAAGTTTAAAAAAATCAAAGTGGATCAATAATCTTTTCCCCACTAAATTCTAAAACTTCCTTTAGCAAAGTTTTCAGTGATTTTTGCTAACCAAGTGAAGGGCCTTTTACTCTGAATTCATCCTACCTGACATGCCTGTTAAATGACCAAAACCTTTTCTCTTAATTTCTTTTTTAATTCAAAGATAAATTATTTTTCCCTCTCTAATTTTTCTTATGAGTCTAATTTTTCCATCTTCACATCTTCATATCCTTCTCTCCCACAGTATTCTCTCTTCAGCTCTCTCTTTTAAAAAAATAGACTAAAGGAATTATAAAATCTTAGAGTTGGCAAGCACCTCAGAGGTCATCTAGTTCATCTTTTGCTTAAATACCCCTGCTCCCCAGCACGACATCCCTAACAAATAGCCATCCAGCTTTCACATGAAGACATCCAAACAATGGGGATCTCAGTGCAACCTATTGCACTTAAGGACAACACTAACTGTGAGGAAGTTTTTCCTTACATGAAACTGAAAATGACTCCAACCTCCAGTTTCCACCTACAAGTTCTCATTCTGCCTTCTGTGGCCAAGCCAAACAAGCCTGATCCTTCTTCCACATAAGAGCCCTTACAATACTTAAAGACAGTTATCCCTATTCATAGGAAGTCTTCCCCCTTTCCACGTTAAACAGCTTTAGTCCCTGGTACCAGTCTCCACACAGCATGGTTTTGAGTGCCCTCATCACTGGATTTGTCCTTCTCTGGACATGGTCCAGCCTGTCTCAATGCTCGTCTCTAACATACCAATGCTCAGAATTGAACACAATAGCAATGAACTCTGTTAGTAGTATCTGTACATTTAGAACTAGAATCTCAGTATATTTCTCTAATCCTAGAGCTCTTCCTCAGATTCTATTTAAACAAATTACTTCAAATGATGAAGAGAGTAAAGTCTTCTTATTGAACATCCTTTGTTCAGTAATACGGCCTTAGGAAGTCTCTGCATTATGCTCTACAACCATTTCAGTTCCCCTTCCAAAGTCCCAAATCTGCTACAAATATCATTTAAAACTACTTTGCATTTATATAACAACTTGACTTTCAAAGTGTTTTCTACAATCTACAATGTGATCTACAATCACATCTGAGATAGAGTTGAAGGAAAAACCTCCTCTTTAAAAGGTTATTAATTTATTTTTATTTCCTAATGCCTTATTTGAAGGAAAAACAAGGCCAAAGGTGGCAGTGCTTTGGGAAGGCCTGAAATAAGACAAGTAACAAAAACATTCTTTTGGCTTGCTGGTCACTTGTCAGTTTGTTGGGCTCTACCTTGTTAAAGACTAAAGATTTGGGTCAAGATGTTTCTCCCTCTTTTGTATAATGATTTAATTGTTTTGTTGATGGTTATTAATTTTATAATAAAAAGTTTCTCTCTTTAAATTGATTTCTTACATCTTAAAATTCTTCTCTTTTTCAGTGATGAAATGAGTAGCTAGGCTACATGTCCCTAGAGATAGAAACCAATGTGTTTTCATAATTCAAATGTTTGAATTTTTTATCAGAAAAACAAAATGCTATTTATAACAAAATACTGAATTAAATTGTGTTCAAGTTACAGAAAAAAATTCAAAATGCAATTATAAAACTATCATTGCAGTGATCTAACCAAGCAACATCAATTATTTAGACTTTTTGATCAAATTGACCTATTATACAGGTAAACAACAATACTCTTGATGAGTGATCTAAAAGGTAGGAAAAGAATCTTGGTTATTGATAGAGCAGTTCTAGGCATACTAAGTATTATAACACAATGTACATAAGCTTAAGTGGTAGAATGTAACAGAAGAGAGTTCTTTCTGGCTAGCGTATAGGTAACAAAAGAAAAGAATCAGCAGAGATATAGTTGAGAGTGTTAAACAACATGTCTAAAAAATACACAAACCCACAAAAATTCTTTATGTGAAAAATTACACTAAATTATGAAATACGCATTAGATGGCAGGCTGTATTTAAGGCTGTTGTTCTAGGACAAAACATAATTTAAAAAATTAACATAAGTCTTTGAGAAGCAACTATTATTTCATTGATCACTGTGGTCAAAGAGGCAAGCTCTTTGCATAGTACTGTGACTATAGTTAGCTCCAAGAGGAAGGTCTAAATGGATCAGTATGATAGAGGTGTTAAAAGGAAGCTGTGAATGACAAGATTTGCACCCAATAATGCACTGCACTGTAAAAGTGTCTTCTTGGTAATTTAGCATGTGTTTTCTGCCTCTTAACTAAACTGTATACTCTTTAAGAGCTACAGCTTGTGTGTTTTATTACTTTTGTATTTCATAGCTCCTAGGTGCAAGGTTTTATACAAAGGACTTAATAAACATTGCTAACTGACAAAGTATACAGATCGATGAATAGTGAGTAGGATGGATAGTAAAGAACTTTAGTTCAATTGGACTTTACCCAATTAAACAGACATTTGTTAAATGTCTACTAAGTATAAAACACTTTGCTAGGTATTAGGAACTTCAAACCATAGGTTTAAAAGCCTGTGGTATTAATGATTATACCACAGTTATTTGGTTCTAGAAATGCCTATGACATAGAAGTTCATACAATATTGTGAGATATGGAAACAGAGGAAGAAAATGGTCCATTTTTATGTTCTTCTGCAATTTCTCAGTGGGATAAGACTGCTGAAGTTGCTTCTGGCTTTCGTTTCATTGGGTGTGAGTTGCAAACCTATTAGTAAATGAATGGTTGTCAAAAGAAAATCCATATGCGAATAGGAAAATTTCATCACTCTAAATTTTAACAATTCCTGAAAGTCTCTGTCTTGTGAACATCAGGCACATAATCATTATGGTAACAGGGAAGGGAACAACACTGCAATATTCTAAAGGTACATATGATAGGGAATCAGACAGAAAGGAAATTAACAGGACAGTATACTGGTAGGCATTCAAGTAAATCCTTATCAAATTTAGTATTTGTTTGAAAGCTCCATAATCCCCATAGTGTAAAAAATGAGTCTGCTGACCCTGGGAACACCACTAAGTGTTGATTTATGAATAATATCATGCACATAGTGGACTCTTGAGAGATGTCTGGTTTTTAAATGATGATGAATTTTGACAGCGTAATTTGCACTAACAGGGATCAAGTGAGAACAAGGAATTCCCAGCAGGTTAACTGGTATCATGTACCTAAAAGGTGTTGGGAGAAATGCAAAAGGCAGTTGTACATGCAGAACATTTTCACACATCAGCACAGTAAGTGCCCTTATAAGGAAGGTGATGAATCTATGGCATCGTACTCTTCTAGCCTCATCCCTAATTGAATGTCTAACAAACAGGAGCAACAAGGCACAGAGATTAATGAAATGAGTTGAGCATCTTCCCATTAAGGATGGCATCCTGCAGTACTGAACCAAGAAGCTATCCCCATACTTGTTCCATAAAGCAATATAACTTGCCTTCACGGCCCCTCTTCTCTTTCTTCTCCTTATCTTCATAAAGAAGGAAAGAGTTCCCATAAGACTATATATATGTGTATATATATATATAGATAGATAGATATAGATATAGATAGATATAGATACAGATAGATATAGATACAGATATATATATATAGATATGGATACAGATATAGATATAATCATATTTATATACAATTTTATAAAACAAACGTGCATCTATAGAATTTTTGTGTATATATGTGGTCTCCATGACTATAAAACCTATAAATGGATGGCTCCTCCCAGAACTACCCAAGCCAACCGTATCTTTATTTCTCACCAGACTGCACTCCAGGTTCTCTGTCATGCCTCAGAAACCTCTACATTCTGGAAGATCACTCCATCCCTGGAATTCACACCTTGGAGGCACCCTCTACCCTTGCAGCCTCTCTGTCTGATTGGATGACCCCTCCTGGAACCTCCATTTAAAAAAGGACCAGGCCAGCCATGTCTTCATTTCTCATCATTCTACTTGTTAGACTTCATCATTTTCCAGTGTCCAGTACCTTCATCTCCTCCAACACCCCTTCAGCTCCATTTTATGCATTGTGTTTCTTTGCTGGAGGGCAGGGGCTCTCTTCATTTCTGCTTTGTATATGTATTCCTAGCACTTAGCACTGTGCTGGGAACACAGTAAACAATAAATACTTATCGACTGACTTGTTGATATGCATATATACATAGTTTATTCTTTCTGAATGATTCTTCCATACCTTACCCACACTTCAGAAAAACCTATGAAACTGTAAGATTCTTGGTAATCTATTTTTTTAAAGTCTCCCAAGTAGGATAATAATAAAGCACTAATAGCAGTTCTCACACACACACACACACACACACACACACACACACACACACACACACATATAGCATTTTAAGGTTTGCAAAGTAAAATACATACATTATCTCATCTGAGTCTCTCAATGAAAACTATCAAGATACTTACTACCAAGGTGATGGCAAAAAAGAGAGAAGCAACAGCCCTGGAACTTGCAACTAATAGTCACACTAAGTCCTATTATCAGAATCAAATGTTTGTGTGATAATAAAAGACTGAGAAAATAGGTATGTTCAAAAGTTCAAGGTTATGGCTGCAGATGCTATGTTAGGTAGAACAAAAGCCTGAAAAACCTAATGAGAAAATACAAGCCTCTAGAGGAAAGAATGAAAATGTGGGAAAGCCATTCCCACTCCTAAATTAGTAGGAGCATGAATAAGCATCGCTGCTACAGGTGATGGTGTTAAGTAATGGGATTTTAGAATTCAAAGGCATGATGTTAACAGATAATGCTGCATAGAGTAAATTTATATTTGGCATTACTAGTTTATCTCTCTGATGAGGTGTGTTGTAGTTTTGCCTTCTCACATCTAAGTACGAGAGGCACATTGAGTCAAGTCAAGACATTTATTAAGCACTTAAAATGTGTGAGGCATTATGAAGCATGGCATAATAGAAAGGGGTGCCCAGAAGTCAAGATCTAGTTGCGAATCCTATCTCTCACACATACTAGCTATGTAACCCTGGGACAAATCACTTAACATTTCTGAGTCAAAAGCAACTCTCAGAGAACGTAATTTTCAGAGGAGTTGTTGATTTGCATCTGTGGAAGGGAGTTTCCAAACCAAAATTTTCCCATGTTGATGAAATCACAAACAAGACAAAAACCCCTAAATCCAATAAACGTCATATTTCCCCTGGATCTTGACTCATACAATAGGCACCATTCTCCCCCCCGCCCATAAAATATGAGAGAAAGGAATGGTCTATTTTTGAAGGAACGTTGCATAAAACAGTGTATTATGAGTACCTGGATTAAAATTCTGTATCTGATACTAGATGTGTGATATGGACAAGTCACTTAGGATCTTTGAGCCTCAATTTCATCATTTGTAAAATGAGAGGTTTGGACTAGATGACTTCCAAAGGCCCTTCTAGCTCTAAATCTGTGACCCTAAGAATTATTTTCCAAGTCCCCCAAATTTCAATGGAAGCAGAGAGCACACTATGAAAAGGAATGCTATAGGAAAAAATGCCCTCCTTAAACCTGGAGCAAGTTAAATCCACCAACCTAATGTCTTTTCTGGTTCAAGTGTCTGATGCTCTACTCCTACTCTTATTTGTATACATCATCCACTGACAATCATGGGAACTATATGGATGTTTAAATGAAGGAAAAATACAGACTCTTTTTCCTTTGAAATCTATGAAATTGAAATTTTGAAACACAGAAGAGAATGACTGTAACATGTAATCATATATTACATTTCAAAATGTTTTTGTTTCTGATTGACAAAAGGTGATTTTCCCCTAACTTGCATTATCCTTCAGCAATATTTTAACCACACCTTCCTCCTAATTTACTAACAGTGACCTTCTAAGGCTTTTCCCTAGTTTTACAAAAGTCTGATATAGACAGGCTTAATCCTCCCGCCTCATCCTACAAAAAAAAAATCATAGTCGTCTCCATGAACAATATAAACTCCACATACCATTAACACATTCAAAGACATCACAGCATTTTCCAGGAGTTCCGTCTCCACGAGAGACTATGCGGGGGGTGGATCCCACCTCACACATAGGGAAACCACATAAGCCAGAAAGACATTCGCATCTGAAACCAAAGAAAAAGGAGGGGAGATCCCATCAATAAACAAAAACAAAGAGTTTGGGGAACGGCAAGTAGCCGTGGCGCTGGCTAAATCAGCCCTTATGTCAACTCTGTGACGCCATATTTATCTTGCATTGTGCTGAATAAGGTATTCCATGTCAATGGACACAGGTATGTGAGCTTGTCCCATTAAGTACCCATGGGTTTAAAAAAAAAAGAAAAAGAAAAAAACTTTTTAACCATTTTGGTTGGGAATCTTTTGCAAAATGCAATAAGTACATCACCAACTTCTTAAACTGAGTTAATGCTGAACTTCATTTGGCTTTTTTCCCCCTTTTTTTTCAATGATTCAGGGTCATGGCTATAGACATGCACTAAAAGATAACATAATGGGACTTCAGAAGGGCTACTGATGTACCTAGTGTGGTTGTCTCTAGACTGAAAAGTCCTCCACTGTTGTACATTGGGAATTTAAAAAATTATAATTCAAATGTATATAGTGCTTTAAAGCTGATAAAGTCTTCTACTGACAACCCAGTGAGGTAGATACTGAGAGTATTCTTATTCCCATCTTGTGGCTGAGAGGACTGAAGCTCAAAGTTAAGTGACTTGCCAACAGAACCACACATGTAATTAGGGTCAGAGCTAGGATTTCAGCCCAGCTATCCTGAGTCCAAGTCTAGTATTCCCTTATGACCCATTGCTTACCTTCTATCCACTCCCTTGCCCTTGCCAATGCACCTGCTTTTTCTAATCCAATTTTAAAATCTATTTGGGAAATCATAAAACTAAGATTTTCAACACTATGCCGTAAGTGATAGTAAATAAACTTTGAGTGAGGAGCTGGGGAGCTCTCCTAAGGGTAAAATGTACTAACTTCCTGGGATGTGTGACTATTTCGGCTGCCCAGGGGCTTTTGTGTTTTGTTTACTTCTAATTTCTCAATTACTTTCTAGGTAGTTAAGGTCTAAATAAATAATCTCACTGCAAGTTCTACTGTTTATCAGCCTATAGATAAATGAGGTGATGTTGTGTGCTGTGTGTGTGTGTGTGTGTATGTGTGTGTGTGCCCTACCTTGTAGCTAAACATTAATTAAGCATATCCATATAACAAAATCGGCAAGTGTCCAAATAGTTAGTAAACAAGGAAAAATGTACTTCCTGACATAATATCTCAAGTACCTAAACCCAGTCTATAGCATGTGAAGACCAGAGAGTATCACAGAATCTTGGAATTGGAAGGAAACTTAGAAACTAACTCATCCATTCCATACTTAAACAAGAATCCCTTTAACAACTATACCCCACAGGATAAAGCTTTTTTTGAAGACTTCCAGCGAAAGGGAGCCTGCTACCTCCCAAGCTAGCACTGGGAATAGCTTTCATTATTAAAAGATAAAGTTTTTCTTTACAATAAGCCCAGATTTAACATCTCTGAAATTTCTATCTAGTGGTCCCATTTTTGCTCTCTGGGGCAAAAAGAACAAGTCTAATCCCTCTTCCATATGACAGTCTTTCAAATAGTTGAAGGTAGGAAGTGTACTTGACCTCTCCTTCAGACTAAATATGGAAATTCCTTTAAGATTCTGGGCATATTGTGTCTTTACTGATATTTTACATTTTTTATTCTTCTTTCAATACTCTCAGATTCTCTACATAAGAGGCAAATCACCAAACAGCACCAACTAATTTAATAAAAAAATTGATTAAAAAGATCAAAGATACATAGAACCTTTAAGTAGAAAGGGTTCATCTGGTTCTACCTACACTTGAAAAACAATCAGCATTATGCCCTACCAAGCAAGTGGCATCTAAGCCCTTGTCTGAAGATTTCCTTATCTTCAGGGAAGGGGAAGCCTATTCTACTTTGGACAGCTCAAATTGCTAGGGCATCTCCCCTTAAATCAAGTCTAAAGTCTCTTTGCCAATTCTATGCATTGCTCATAGTGCCTCCTATTGGTGCCAGCTTTCACAACATATCCTTTCAAATACTTGGGGATGACTCTGAGGACTCTCTAATTTGTCCTTTCACTAGGCTAAATATTCCAGTTCCTCTAATTATTATATGGCATGAATCTGAAGCTCTCCACCATCCTGGTTACTCTCCTTTGCGCCTTCTCCACCTTCTCAATGTTCTTTCTAAAATGTGCCACCTAGAATTGAACACAACACTATAGATGTGATTTAGCCAGGGCAGAGTACAGCTGACTAGCATCTACCAAATGGTGATCGCCATGCCTTTCTTAATGCAGCCTAATAAAGTATTTGCATATCACAGTTCACTAACAGAGACTGCAGTTCAAAAAGACCCTCAGATTCCTTTGAGTTGAACTTCTACATAGTTATGTGTCCCCAGTCTTATATTTGCAAAATTTATTTTTGATCCCATTTTTGGTAACTGTATATTTATTCCCATGACAGATTACTTTATCCTAGAATGTTAAAAAATTTTAAATCTTAATTCTGTCATTCAAAATATGAGCTATTCCTCCTAACTTTATGTCATTTGTAAATTTGTTAAGTATGACATCTGCCACCATCCAGGTCACACACAAAAATGTTAAATAGCACAAGGCCAAGAACAAATTCTTGGGGAACCTGATTAGAGATCTCTTTCCAAACTGACATGGAACCACTCATGACTACTCTTAGGGTTTGGTCATTCAATCAGTTCTGAATACACATAATTGTACAATCATCTAGGTGCATATCTCCTCCATTCTGTTCACAAGAATAATATAGGGGCAGCTAGGTGGCACAGTGGATACAGTACTGGCCCTGAAGTCAGGAGGACCTGAGTTCAAATCCAACCTCAGACCAAACACACTTGATACTTACTAGCTGTGTGACCCTGGGTAAGTCACCTAACCCCAATTGCCTAAAAAAAACAGAAAACCAAAAAACCAAGAATAATATGAAAGTCTTTGTCAAATGCTTTGCTAAAATCTAGGTAAACTATATGGATGATATTCTCCTGATCTACAAGTCTAATAACTTTGTCAATAAAAGGAAATGAAGTTAGCCTGTTCTTGATGAATCTACAGTAGTTCTTCCTGATCAACACTTCCTGTCATATATATTTACTAATTATCTCATTTATAATTTATTCTAGAATTTTTGCCAGAAACTGAGGTAAAAAAAAAATCAATAGCTGGTATTTGTCTTTCTCCTGTCCTGCCATACCATTCCTGTTTGCCATAATCTTTCAAAGAGAGTTCAGCAACTGTATTTGTCAGTTTTTTTTTTTGTGACCAGAGATATACTTCATAAGGGTTTGTTGAATTGAAGCCATTAATAATAACAATAATAACAATAACAACAATAACTAGGAATGATGCCATGCTTTAATGTGTCCAAAGCACTTTATATACATGATCTCATTGGAACCCTACAACAACTTTGTAATGTGAGGCAGGGTCTACTTGTGTCCCCATTTTACTGATGAAGGAATTGATGCTCAAAGAGTTTAAGTGACTTGCCCAAGGTCACATAGCTGGTTAGAGTCAACATCAGGGTCTGAACCCAGATTTTCTTGACTTCAAGTTCAGAATCCAGTGTAACTATACTACTATAGTAACTATAATAACAGTTGTACTTTTACTCTACTAATCTTGGGTATTAATTCTTTCAAAGCCAATTGGTTCTATCTTTCCTACTCCAAAGTTCATTCTCCTTGGTTTAAACCCCTCACACCCCAATCCATCCACATTGTCATTTACTTCACCCTTTCCCCCTTTCTTGGTCAGACAGTCCATTCTAAGGTTTAGAATATCTGACATTACTTTTATAGCATCATGCCACCCTTTATTTGGGAACTTCCTATACCTCAGAAGATGTCTTGTCCTGAAGAATTTTAGCCAATGGGATCCTGCCTATTCTTTCTTTAAACTCTGAAATCTTATCTCATTGAATTTAGGGTCTATATCAGACCATTCTTGCCTTTTCTTTCCCTTCTCCCCAAATTCTATGAAAGAGATAAAGTCTAAGATAGACTTAGATCTCAAGTTTCATCATTTCTATCACAGCAACATAATTTTCCTTGTTTTTTAAACATGTTTCACCAAAATTTTAGCATTAAGTATTATTGCAACCAACTACATTTGCTTATCACTACTTCCATTTAAATTAATTTTAAAATGCAAACTATTAATTGTTCAGCCAAAAGGATGTTATGTTTGTAATTCTACCAGTAATGAATGAGTATATCTGTTCTTCCATAATCCTACCAGTGCTGAATTTCATTATTTTTATTTTTTGCTAATTTGATGGGTATGAAGTAGTACCTCAAAGTTGTTTCAATTTGCATTAATGACAGTAATAGGAACCATAATAACAGTAATTATTATCTCAAAGAATAGATGCTAGTATGAAACAGCATGCAAGGAAGGACTCCTGGCCTTTTAATTTTAAATGAGAATTTGTATTTCCATTTTGCCAGAAAAAAAATCAAACTACTAATATTGTCATTATTCAGATGATGACCAATCAATACCTCACATTAAAATAATTATGTAATGTAATCACATCTGCATCCAGGAGGGAACTGATTAGGGTGTTACTCATTTTTATAAGTAATGAATTCAGTTCAGTGAGTATTTGAAAGCTTACATGCCTTGATAACTCAAATCCTAGGAATCATCCAAGCCTCTCCATGTACCTGACTATGGTGACTATTTCTCAGTTATGGTGGATGGAGAAGTACATGTTCTTCAACTTACTACTCTTCCACAACATTTTTCTCCTTTGGAGAATTTATAAATAGGCCCAGGTAGGCAAAGAGCTCCAAAATAAGGTTTGGTTTTTAAAGCTATCTTCACAGCTGATATTCATTCATTCAAAAAACATCTACTAAATACCTTCTATGGACAAAGTACTGTGGCAGTTCATAAAGGATCAAACACAATTCTACTTTAAGAATCTTACCAGGAGAACATTATTAAACATAATGCTAGGTGGCAGTATTAAATATAATGCTAGATAGTGCATAAAGATTGTAAAAGCCA